GGCCCAAGTGGTTAGGGAGAGGGACGTCTGGGCCTCCCTACTGAAGCTAAGGTTTATCTAAAAGTTTTATGTTTAAAAAAAAAGGAAATGTGAAGTTGTCATGTGATAAATTTACATAAATCTTAACCTTTGTATTAACAGTTATAGATTTTCTTGCATCACATGCATGTTTCATTATGCATAATAATCTGTATTTAGAGAGTGTTCCCTCTGGTACAGCTCTGCTGTATTCTAATCCCAAACCAAAGATCTTTGCTGCGTTTCCTCCCTCTCTCTCTCCAACCCATTTCCTCTCAGTTTTTTTAATCAAAGCCACTTGTGCACTAAAAAAGGGAACTTTCCATGTTTTCCCCTCATTAGAAATGCTTTCATTAAAATGTCTTTTTTTTTTCAAAATAAAAGGAAACCTTAATGAATCTAAAAATATAAATAAAAAAATCTATTCCCAGCAAACTGACCTCGATTTGGTTAAATGTCTCAGTATTTTAGATTTTAAAATTTAATTCAGATTTACTATAGACACCTTAAAAAAGAAACATCTGTGACAAAGCTGTATAAAAGCTACGCTGCAGACCCTCCCTCCTGCTCCTAACCTCCTAATGGTTTTTCTTAAATCGTTATTCTTCCAGTGCTTATAGATCCCCTACTTCTTCTATGTCACCTGCTTTTCTTTCCCCATAATCAGAGATGTCCAAAGTATTCATGTTTATTCCTCCACTATAAATCCTGCTGTTTAAACACAATTTTATAGAAGTTAGAGAATCAACTGCAGCTTTTTACTCCAGTAAAAGTATAAAAATAAAATTTTTAAAACTACTTAAAGTATAAAAGTCAAAGTAATGCAGTAAAAACTGTTAAGGACGTTAGTTTTACTGCGCTAACCTTAAAGGAAAATTTTTCTACAATTCTGGATGATAACTTCCTTAGACTTCATTTTCTTAGTTTTGTAACTAATGGTAACAGAGTCAGATTTAACTTTGCATCATCTTGATAAACTATTTATTTTGGTTTGTGGTGAACAACAAGTTGGGGCAGCACCAAGTCCAATCACAAATAACTTAATTGTCTGGATAAAACTAATTATTTATTTCTAGTTAAGGTAACAAAGTATTTGGACTTTGTTACTTGATGACTCAGCCCATGAAGGACCAAAAATGATCCCATACAGATGATTTAACAGAGGTTGAGGCTTTTTTAAAGATTAGCAGCTTTTATCAGAGAATTGTCTCAAAGAAATCTATAGGAGACAAAAAACTCTTTCCTTTCTTCTTACACCCTAAGGGGGTATAAATAAATTTCTGCCTGACAAAAACACACAAAAGTAAATAACTTATAGCCTCAAAGCTATTAGATTTAAGAAGAAACTTTTGGTACCTCTGTAAAGGTAAGATGTCATAGAATGGTTTTCTGGTGTCAGCACCATTGTAGCTTTGACCCTGCCTGAAATATTAGAGACAAAATACAAAATATTTTGCATTTTTTGAACCTCGCCAAAATTTTCTTTGAAATAAACATTGCAAAACACTACCAAAATATTATTTATAGCACAAAAAAGTAGTACAGACTTTCAAATCTAAATGTTGTGTAAAAATATACCAAATTTGGACTCAATCAGATGAATCATATTTATTTTAGAATGGTATTAGTGAGAAATTTCTTAGGCGGAGAGGCCATTTTGGCACATTTATCCATAAATGACACCAAACTGTGACAAATATGTTTTTTACATCAATACTGGGGGTTTGGTAAAATTACGAGGTCACGTAGCAGCTGGACCCGCCGGTGGGTCCGTAGGGTTCAAGGGGTTAAGAGCTTTAAGCAAACATAAATGTGAAAGGTACTTTCCTCCTTACAGTTTTCTTCTGTTTTGATTTTTGTGATCTGAAAAGTTTAACAAAGTTTAAATAATAGGATACAGGAATAACCTTACTTCATTTATTAAGCATTCCTTTTATGATGTTACCATTTAATAACCACAATAAGCCTACAAATGTACCCTCCCATCAATGCACCCTATTTTATTCTATCTAGAACGTGGTCAAAGGTTTCAGTTATATTCCAGATAAAGAGGGTATTCACTGCTTGCTTTCTATGAGGTAATAAATTAATAGAATATAACGTTATTGATCTGATTTCAATGGTTTGGTCCTATTTCTGATAATCCAGCAGTGAAGCACACAGTTTTTACCTCTACTGATGGTCTGAGCTTGTGCTTTTTATCTGTTCATCTCTGCGACTTTTCTCCTGCATGGATGCACAAAGTGTCATTTAAAATATGAGCAAACTGAATGCTTTGATCAGAAAAGCAAATGTCTGCTCTGCAAACTTACTGTAGATGTGCATATGTTGCAGAAACGGATTGCTGCTGTTGTCATAAAAACTTGAAATAATAAAGAAAAACTTTAAGCTTATTCAACAGATCTATTGAAAAAAGAAAGTCATCCTTGAACACCTTTATGCAGTCCTTTATGAGGTGCAATAACACCATTAAAACAGAAACAATTAACCTGCACCTTAATAGATTTATTGATGGGGTTAAATCCATCCCTAGTAATTAGATTTGTACTTTTGTTTTCTTCGGATCAACTGTTTCTTTCTTGTTTTTTTCTTTTTAGAAGTACAGTAATTTTGAGTTTTTGTTGGAATTCCTTCCCGATTTATTCTGCCTGCAGCCGATGATGGTCACAGAATAAAGGAAGTCAGCGTTGAACTGAAGTGTTCGATAGTTTGATTATTAGAACTAAGCGAATGCAGACAGATTGAGGGAGGGAACTTTCTGTTCTGAGGTTTATCGTTGTCTAAGTTTAGATCTTGGCTGACAGACGGTGTCTCAAGTAACAAGGCTGGAGGCTCACGACTGTGACTCCACATTCCAGATGGAAACACAGCCACACGGAAAGCTGCAGGGATACAAGCTCGGAGAAGCTGCGGATCAGAGAAAAGTCAGAGGCAGCACAGGCTTTATTCATGCACCGTCCAGTAACTGGAGATTTGACACACAGAGATCCATCGATAACAACATAGACTATTTGATCTGAGACTCCTTTCCTGCTGGGTTTATGTCTCTGTTCTGCCTGAACTATGACAGAGGAACCAAACGCAGAAGTTCAGCAGCCTTCAGTCTCTGGGTCTAGGCAACATTTTTTAAGAGATGTCATCTTTCATGGAAAGTTTAGGGTGAGTATCATTTTAAATACCAAGAACATACACAGAAAAAAAAAAAAAAATAATGTAAAAAAACAAACAAAAAAAGCATCCTGTATCTGTCTGACTTGGGCAGTTTGACAGGATATCACCTGTTGTCTTTAGAAAGTTTAACAATCATTTGATTTGTTTTGAAACTACATTAAAAGATAGATTAACATTTTGCTTTTTGTTATTTTACTTATTCTGTATTTCTTAGCTTTATGAATCTAAATCCAAATGAAGCACTGATGATGCGTCCTGTTTTGGTTAAATATAAATATAACAAATAATAAATAAGATTGTTCTTCCCCTTTAAGCTATTTGGTCTGTTTTTATTGTTGTGGTAGATATCAAACACACTGCAAAAACGATCTAGAAATAAGTCCAGATTTCTTAAATTAAATGTATTTTCCCCTTAATTTCAGTTGGTAAGTAAGATTATTTAAAATACATGATTTAAAACAAGATAATTAGATAATAACCTGGAATAAGACAATTCAATTGTTTATTTTTTCTTATTTTAAATGTAAATTGTGTCTCAGTTACCACCTCAATTCAAGAAAAAAAAATCTAGAACTGTACTTATTTAGAATTCAGTTTTGTGAAGTGAACTGCCACTTAATTCCAGGTCATGACAGTATTCATTATTCCCCACAGAGTTTCCTTTCCACTGAGAGCCAATACCCTTAGCCAACGCACACTTCTTTTCACACAAATCTAAATTACCTAGATTACAGTCTGAAGCTGTAATCTAGGTCTCAGAAACATTAGCAAATGAGTGGGCTGCAGTCCCTTTAATTTATAATAACAATACAGTGTGGAGATTGAACTGTTTCTAAAATTATTTGCTTCTGACTGAATATAAAAACCTGAATCCTGAAGGTTTCTTAAAGGAGCTGTTAAATGAGTTCAACAGGCTGCTCTTCTTTAGTCCATTGAGTTTAGAAAATTCCCTTACAATGTCTGCATTACTGAGACACCAAGTAAAGGAATATCAAGAATGTCCACTAGATGGCAGCAAAGACCAAACAATTGGAAAGAAAAGCTTTATGGTTTCTCTGGTCCCTCCAGAAACCAGTTAGATGACAGGTTTGGTTTTAACCTGTCCTTTTGTCAGTTTAAATATATTCTTGGCTTTGCCTCATCCAATGCTTTGCAAAAGTTTTCGTACCCTTTAAATGCTTTCCCGATTTTTAACGGTGGTTGTAAATGTCTGATACTTCTGTTAGGGTTAAACATCACATTTCACTGTTCAGCTGTGCAGTTGGAAGAGGTATTCAATTATTTACTTCAGACAAATAAACGTAGATCGATGGATTTCACTCAGTCGGCACTTTATTTTATCTGTGCAAAGAGAGAACAGTTCATCATACATTCCTTACTGCACAGTAATCAGCCCTGTTCTGATCTGGGCAGCGTCCTTCCTCCTTACTTACATTAATGGAAAGTAGTCAGAGTCAAAACAAATTGCAGACACTTATGTCTTGTCTACTGACACCCTCACGCAGGTGAATTGTGTGGCCTTGCAGGTGAAACTGACTGAGGGAAAACATTTATAGTGAGTAAACAGCATATATCAGTATATGAAATAAGAGAAATCTATATTTTCCGACCACAAGCTGCAAGTCTTTTGAGGTACTAGAATCAGATGTAGAATCAGGATTAGAAATACTTTAATAATCCCAGGGGGAAATTACTTAATTACTTACTAGCTTTGTAAATCTACATTTTGTTGCTCTTCTTTGCTAATTGGTGCACGCTAAGCCAGGTTGCATGCAGAGTGAGTAGAAGGAGTTCATTTGGAGTTTGGCCACAGGTTTTGTTTTCACCATTTTGCCGTTGTTTATTGTTTTACTGCATTAGTTATTTCCTTTAGGTCTCATTTCTGACTAATTTCTAGTGTTCTGTGTAGGTTTCTTTTGTCTTTTTGTTTTGCTTAATGTTCCATTTCTGTCTAGTTTAAGTCTACTCCATCTGCCTTTCCTCCATTCTGCTAATTTACTTCATTCATCTCAGCTATCTACACTGTTTCTCCTAATTTATCTCACAAATGTTTCCTTACGTTTCAGTTAAACTCAATGGTTTTTAGCTGGTTTCGTCTGTTGTCCCATGCTCCTGTTTTTCTCAGTCATTCTTGTCCTATAATACTCAGTATTATTTTTGCTTCACCTATTGACTAGTTCATTTTCTAATTCTAGTCCCTTCTGTGTCAAATGGTCCTCCTCCCTCAGCTTCCCTGCATCCATTCTGCTCTAACCGCTCCTCATAACCCCCTGAATAACTCACTTGCATTTAATGCCATTCTTTCCTGGGTTTTCAAACTTTGTCGTTGTCATTCTACTTTGCTGTGAAAAGATCCAAGGTGTGAAAACTTTTTCAAACACCAGATGTCTCTGAGGCTCCTGTTGGGTTTATAATGTCAGCTGGTTGGAAATATCTCAGCAAATCTCTCAGATCTTGGCAAATGTTGAGACTTTAGGTGGCAAATCTTGCGATCATGATGTTTACAGAGAATGAATCGAGTTAATTCTTGTAAATCCTGTGGCTGATTATGCTGAATCTTTGTAGGGCTGAGACTTCATGGCTGTGTGAGTCGGGATTTAACAAACAAAAATAAAATAAAAGACACTTTAACTGAGGGATGGGAGACTCCAGGATCCTACAGCTTTTAGATTTTTCCTTTGTCCAAAACATCTGAATCAAATGGTTGAATTACCTCCTTGGTATGCAGTCAATGGCTAAATCCCAGACTGCCCCCTAAGCTCCGCCCCCCTTCACTGTCATTGTCACTTCTAATGACTTGGAATTTATTGTCATTTTGTATAGAGAGAGTGTATACAAAATGAAATTTTGTTCAGTACAGCTTTCATGACATTTCCATTCATAAAGTGCAGCAGTGATCAAATGCAAACAGTGAGGGAGAAAAAACATGGCGCAAAAAAAAAAAACGCATTGATCTGGAAGTTCAGAGCATTAATATCTATGGTGCAATATTTTGGTTTTGTATTATCAGTGTGATGCAGAGTCTGTGACATGATTTAGAGTTTTCTCAACAGTTCAGCAGTCTTATGGCGGTGGACCCAGCCTGGGGTCTTTCTTCATGGAGTTTGCATGGTTTCCCTGAGCATGTGTGGATTCTCCCCGGGTACTCCGGCTTCTTTCCAAAGTCCAAAAACATGACTGTTACGTTAATTGGCTTCTCTAAATCCTCTTTAGGTGTGAGTGTGTGTGTTAATGGTTGTTTGTTTTGTTTGATTTGACACCCATGAGTAGAGATAATGCAGCCTGATGATATTTACACCGCATCAGATACCGTCCCCCCATGTTAAGAAGGGGGGAACGCTATTTGACTAGGTTTAGAAGCCCGTCAGATACCGTTACCCCCATGTTAAGTAGTGGAACGCTATCTGACAGGGTTTATAGGCCCGTCAGATACCGTTACCCCCATGTTAAGTAGNGGAACGCTATCTGACAGGGTTTATAGGCCCGTCAGATAGCGTTCCCCTGCTTAGCATGGGGGTAACGGTATCTGATGGGCTTCTAAAACCCGTCAAATAGTGTTCCCCTCTTCTTAACATGGGGGGACAGTATCTGATGGGCCTATAAACCCTGTCAGATAGCGTTCCCCTACTTAACATGGGGGTAACGGTATCTGACGGGGTTTATAGCCCCGTCAGATAGCGTTCCCCCCTGATGTCATTTACGTTGAGTTGCAATAAATGCTAAACTCTCTGCAGGTTCTTGTCTTTGTCGTCCGCTCTATTCAGCTGGCTTTNATAGAAAGAGCGTTGATCTCCACCTCCACGGGCCGTGCAACCAACAATTACACACGATTTCACCATTTTTCACTGTCAATACTGCCGAAGGCTGCCACCCAATATGGCGGACGCGCTGAGTAGTCACGTGAGCGTGACGTCACCTGAAAACCCCCTATTCAGCTGGCTTTTGAAACACATGGCGAGAAGGTGGGGGCTGGGTGGTGAGGGTTACGGGGGCGAGAAACGCAAAAGTAACGCAATAGTTACTTTTACTAGTAACTAGTTACTTTTATTGTGAAGGAACTCAGTTACTAACTCAGTTACTTTTTGGGAGAAGTAACTAGTAACTGTAACTAATTACTCTTTTTAAAGTAACGTGCCCAACACTGTCTGTGACTCTATGGCGACCTGTCCAGGAGGTATCTGGCTTTTACGCAGAACCTGCTGGAGATGAGATCCATCTTCTACCAGAAAGGTAGAAGATGGATGGATGGAAGATATCTGAATGAATTCACAAGCATCTGCTGGCATCTAGGCTTGAATCTGTCTAAATGAAGGTTAGAATGTACATGTTTTAATCTTGGCTTAGAAAGCAGAATGCCTGTTTACATAAAGCTGCAACTATCTGCAAACTTAACTTGCTGCAAGTATTTTTGCCTTGCCAAACTCTAGTGAACCTACTGGTCCCATTGTTTAGCTCGTAGCTGCTGTCCAAATCGCATAACATGAAGAAATGCTGAGTTTGGCTGAAGATGAATAAAGAAGATGTTAGGGTGTGTTGCTGTTTGTGGCTGCAGGAAGTTAACAGATGATCAAAGCTCCCTACCTATCAGGGTGGATGTAGTTTGCTCCTATGCATAACACTGTGGATGTGCTCCAAGCAGCGTTCATGTGTGACTGATCTTCAGATGTAGATTTATATTTAGAAATCGTAAAGCAAAAGCCAGAGGTTATGACAGCTCCTAATTTACCCACTATATATGTCCTAGGGTTTCTAGGAAGGGCCATGGCAGCTGTGATGGATACCTTGACTTATTTGGGATGAAACTTCGGCCCAAACTATGGAAACCATTCATCTGCATCCACTATATATTTAATCCACCATATCCCAGAAAATGCATTATTTGAATTATGGTAACAACTATTTGGTCTGACTCCAGATCAAGAGTAGAATATCTGTAGGTTATTTGTAGGGGGCGCCATTTGTAAAGTTAAGCTTTCAGAAATTAGTAGCAATATTTATGGTTATTTAGCGTAGTTTAAGAGAAAAATAAGGAGATTCTTTTTTTTCTTTTTTTTTCACTAAGTCATCCATTCATTTATAGAAATCTTTATTTATAAGAATAAAAAAATATAGATCTTTATCTATATTTAATTTGGAGATTTTTTTTTCACATATATATTTAGCTCCAAATACATTTTTTTGTTAATAAACTAAAGATTTAGTTTGGAGCTGAATAAATATTTTACAAAGTTAGATTCTTATAAATGAAGAACATAATGAAAATATTGACTAGGAAAAAAATTATTCCCTTATTAATTAACCCTAAATTTATTACATTTATTTTATTAATGGTT